GGACTCTGTTGTCAAGCTTGGCTTAGTTGACATTTTTGCCCCTAACTTGAGGGGGAGTGTTGTAGTTATAGCAGCCTAGCTTATTAGAGTTTTTCCTTTTTTCCTTTTTATTCTTATTGTAACTTTTATTGGCTATATATACAGGGACTTTACACTCAGTTTATATCCATTTTTTTTCTTCCAAATATTGCAAGTGTTTTTAATTTAACTACAAGTCAGTACCCCTCATGCTTCAATTATTGAACCATAATTATCATCTCAACCACATCTTCGTCAAAACTTTAATATTTAACTCTTATTCGATTCATTTATGATATTGCCCTTAGTTTTTAATTTAACCATGAATCAACACCCCTCGGGCATGTTTGGATGGTTTTAGAATGGATCCATGCTTCTTACACACGAAAACCAAGTTTTTCGAGAGAGTAGCCAGTGAAAAAGTCATTTTCCAAGTCTCCATCTATAGAAAGTCATTTTCCAGGGTTCAACTACATTACCTACACCCATTTTTTGATATGGTACCGAAAAAATAAAATGAACGGTTCACAACTCACGAAGAACTTTTACCGTTGATCAAGTCTAAATTTTTACTGGCTACCCACTGAGCGTTAATAATTAAAAAAAAAAAAACACAGACGAAGATGAAGATGGAGTTGCAAAAATGTTTTTATCCCTATGAACGCTTCAAGAGATTATAAGATTATCATCATTTATTAAAACTAAGGTTAAGTTATAGTCTTTTCATTAAAAAAAAATTCAGACAGGGAAGAAGAAAGAGAAAGATCAAAGCATGGAGTTGCAGAATTGGTTTTATCCCTATGAGATTATAAAATCATCCTCATCATTTATTAAAACTAAGATTGAAATTATAGTAAATTCAAAAAAAAAAAAAACCTCAGACGACAAAGAAGAATGAGAAAGAAGAAGATGAAGTTGCAGAATTGTTTTTATCTCTATGAATGAAGAGATTTTAAATCATCATCATTTATTAAAACTAAGGTTGAGATCATAATAAGTTTATATTTTAAAAAATAAATTAAATTTTTTTGGTTAACATTATCACTTTTTTGCTTAAGATTACATTGGTTAAGAGTAATCCTTTTTTGGTTAACAGTATCATTCTTTTTGTTAAGATTATCACTTTTTTGATTAAGAGTACCACTTTTATAATTAAAATTACTTTTTAAGATCGCTTATGTAGCGCTCAGGCATTCACTAGCGATCAAGTTTTCGATACTTGACTAATCTTGATCGCTCAAATCAGCAATCAAGATTTTAGCTTGTCCAATAAATTTCACTTCTACCCCTAAATTATCACATTTTTTTCAATTTTTTCATCATATATTTCATATTACACCCTCAATTATGTAATTAGTTTCATATTAGCCCAATTTTTTTTACCTATATTAATTTAACACCAAAGGTATACCAAATATGATAACTTTGTTATAATTTATTTAGCGTGAAAAAAAAATGTTGTAATAATTTTAACTTAATCCAAAATATAACCCCAAAAAATGGCAATTTTACCCAAAAAATTGTGGCAATATAACTTATGTAACATTTTAGTAATAGCAAAAAAAAAAGTGCTAAACTTTAGTTGTAATTTAGCCTTGGTGAACTTAATTACCTAATCGTAACCTCTAAAATTTTTAAGTTAATCGTAAATTTAATGTCACTCAATAACCCTAAATATTGTAAAATTTACCTTATATTTTTATTTCAGGTTTAAATATGATAAATAATTATGATTTTTTAAAGCTAATTTTAATTTCTATTATCACTTAAAATAGTGGTGAACTTAGATAACCTAATCTAACATCCTAATATTTTTAACTTAAATTTAATGTCACTCAATAACCCCAAATATTGTAAATTTTTTATTATATTTTTATTTAGGTTTAAATAAGATAAATAATCATCATTTATTAAAATAAAGATTGAGTAGTAGTCTTTTCATAAAAAAAAAAAAAAAAAAAAACTAAGGGAGAAAGATCAAAACATGGAGTTGCAGAATTGTTTTTATCCCTATGAGATTATAAAATCATCATCATCATTGATTAAAAGTAAGATTGAGGTTCTAGTAAATTCATATAAAAAAAAAAAAAGAACTCACACGACGAAGAAGAAAGATAAAGAAGAAGATGAAGTTGCAAAATTGTTTTTATTCTCATGAACCCTTCATGAGATTTTAATCATCATCATTTATTAAAATTAAGGTTGAGATTATAGTAAACTTATATTTAAAAAAAATATAAATACACTTTTTTGGTTAACATTGTCAATTTTTTGGTTAAGATTACAATTTTTTTGGTTGGGAGTACCACTTTTTGTGTCAATATTAGTACTGTTTTGGTGAACATTACCACTTTTTTGTTAACATTTTTACTATTTTGGTTAAGAGTACCATTTTTTTGTTTAACATTACCACTGTTTAAGTTAAGATTACCACTTTTTTTGTTAACATTACCACTTTTTTTGTTAAGATTACAACTTTTTTGGTTAAGAGTACCACTTGTTTTATAATATTACCACTGTTTTGATTAAAAGTACAATTTATTTTGTTAATATTACCATTTTTTTTATTAAGAATATCACTTTTTTGGTTAACATTACCACTATTTTGATTAAGAGTACCACTGTTTTGCTTAAGTTTACCACTTTTTTTGTTAACATTACAACTTTTTGGTTAACATTATAACTTTTTTGATTAAGATTACAACTTTTTTTTGCTAAGGGTACCACTTTTTTGGTTAAGAGTACTACTTTTTTGGTTAATATTACCACTTTTTTTGGTTAACATTACCATTTTTTTGTTAAAAGTACCATTTTTTTTGTTAACATTATCACTGTTTTGGTTAATATTATCACTTTTTTAGTTAACATTACTACTGTTTTGGTTAAAAGTACTACTGTTTTGGATAATATTACCACTTTTATTGTTAAGATTACCACTATTTTGGTTAAGAGTACTACTCTTTTGGTTAATATTACAATTATTTTGGTTGACATTACCACTTTTTTGGTTAACATTACCACTATTTTGGTTAATATTACAACTTTTTTAGTTAATATTACCACTGTTTTGATTAAGAGTACCACTGTTTTTGATAATACTATCACTTTTTTGTTAATATTACCACTGTATTAGTTAAAATTACTATTATTTTAGTTAAGATTACCACTGTTTTGAAATTTAGGCTATGGACCTAAACTCCATAGCCTAAATAATACAAGCCAAAATGCAATTAATCAGGATTGTTAAAATAAAATAAACTTAAATTTGATAGGCCCAAATTAAATAAACTTTCAAAAGATAAAGTGGGTTGGTTTTAAATTCTATAAATTAATTAAAGCCTACAAAGTTATGGGTAGCCCACTACTTAAAGCCCATATAAGAGTAATAAGGACTCTTATATGGATAATTATCACTCTTATATGGATAACTACCCCTAACACTATAAATAGAGGTCTAGGGGAGGGCCAAAGAAAAAGAAACAAAAGGAGAAAAAGCCAAGGAGAAAGGAAGATCGGCGAAGCTCTGCTCAAAATTTACTAAAACCTTAAAGCATTGCAAGTTCATCCCCAAAAAGAAGAACACACCGTCAATGTCCTTCTTCAAGAAATTCAAATCATCTTCAAGTCATTCCAAACAAAAAACGGTGAGGAGATTCATCTAAAGTATCATCAAATTGAAGGGTAGGAGATACATTGATCCAGCTCTCGTTTTCATCAAAACCACCAATTGAAGAGTGAGAAATACGCTAATCAGACCCTCATCTTCACCAAATTTATCAACTTCATTAAATTCACCGGGAATCAGAGGATAGTGCACGTAAGAAGCATGCCGAAGAGAGTCAACACTACATTTTTTTTTACTTACAGTCAATCAAATTAACTATTGTAATTTGACATTATTTTATATTAATTCATTCACGAAATTTGTCGTTACACCTAGTTTACCATGCACATGCACATGCACTTGCTGGATTGATCTTCTTTGGTGTAGGCTTCAAGAATTTGAGGATGGAGAAAGAGTTGGACTAAAGTAGATTTTAATAATAAAATTTAACTTTTTTTTATCGATTTTAAACTAAAATTAAAGTAGGACCTATTCATTTTTTTGAGTAAACTTTCATGGTTTCGTGTTCTATTCTATGAGAAGAATAACGTAGTATATTTACTTTCTCAAATTGAGTATGAGATTAATGCTAAAATTGATTTTAAAATGGCCCCTTGAATATAGAAATAGAAGTTGGGACAATGTGAGATGCAAGGTTAGACAAGAAATATTACATGAGTATATATATCTCAAGTTTGTTCTATTAGTTTGGGTTTAATCACACACGTGTCGTCGGGCTGGGGCCAGTTGCAGTGTGAATCAACCTTATTTTTTTTTAAAGAAAATTTTCTACCAAATTGGGTCGGAAATTCTTAACCCGTTTTTAATTTATGCTTGTTGGAATTCTTAACCTATTTTTAATTTATGCTTGTTGGAATTCAAAACTTGCATTGGTTTGGATTTGAAATTTTCCTCTTGTCCGAATTTAAATTTCTTGTCTGTTCGTTATTTGCAAGACTTGAATGGTGTCTTTCGGACTTCATTATGTCTTCTGGATTGCATTAGTTCGCGTGGTGGCTATTTGACATAGTCCTTCTATACATAAATAACTCAGATTCATTAGCATTTTATACTTACAACATTACGATTAAGGCAATCATTACATTCATTATTTTCATGATTAAGAGTCGAAATTTTATGAGAGTATAAAACACAATCTTTGGTTCGCTAAACAATTAAATTGGAGTGTTATTTTTCATTGTTTGAAGATCATTGTATCCTACAAGACAAACGTTGAGATTTTCATAAACACCAGTGTGGGGCAAAATATATCTTAAGAATGTAGTGTCAAACATAAATTTGATTCATATAAAGTTTAATCTCCATTCCAAACAACAACTGTGATAAATCTTATTCCCAGTCAAAGTCTGATTATTGATCAGACCTCATTTTCCTTTAGCTGAATATCTTTTGGTTTCGGACGCTCATACTCTCCCAGAAAGACCTCAAGATGTTCGGAAAGCGCTGACTTATCGATGCTTTCTTGGTGGTATGATTTGCAGACAAAGTAGATTATAGTCTGAATCACCAACCCAAAGGGAATCAACATCAAAAGCAACAAGAAACACAATAACCCAACTCCAATTCTGGCACAGACGACCTCAATGGCCATCCACTCACAACAAAATATTGAAACACATAATGTATCGCGTAGAGAGAGAAATTCAGCTTGAAGAATAAAGCAATTGCGACCCACATCTTCCCCTTTATCAGTTCCTTGCTCTTGATCATTGCTTTGAATCCATATGTGTCTTCTAAGACTGATACAACGCTAGCCAACTGCCAAAGAATGGTCAAATACACCAATCCAACCACGTAACATATCAAAATGATGAAGAAAATAACCACAGAAATGGTGTTGCCCCCATCAGTGAGAGCCCAGATGAAGAAGATAAGCGCTGCGACCAAGTTATAGACGAAGAAGACTAGGAAAGTGCAGAGAAAAGTGACCATTAATCTCTTCCAGACCTTAGGAACTACTCTCATGACCTTCTTGAAAGTCACTTCACGAGCTGTGTATACACAGGCAATGGTATAAACTACGGCGGCAGTGGAGAGGAAAGAGAAAATGAGGAGAAAGGCGAAGTAAACGAACTTGAAAAGCCAGAAATAGGCCCACTCCGATGAGACTCTGATAGAATCTCTTGTGGAATGGACTGTCTACTCTTGCACTGCGTATTAATAATTCCATGTTAAAGATTTTTGAGAGATGTACGTTTGATTCGATGTGGGCGAGGAAGATGACGGAGAGAGGGAGAACCAGAGATAGGGTGATTTGGCTGAAGATTCTTCTCCATTTGAAGATGATCTTGCAGGCTTCTCTGTAGATGCCAAAGAGCCCTAAGGATTGCAGTTCTTCTTGCTCTCTTTCATATATTTTTTGATTCAAAGGAGGAAAAGATGGAGAAGTGAGAAAAGGGTTAAAATCGGACGATTAACGGCATAGCTGTAGTTAGTGCCTACAGGGCCGCAACGGCAAGGAGAAAAGGACCGGCTCATCGGTACTTACACACGACGGCGAAGTTTCGTAGGAGAGTAGCCTGCCAAAAAGTCATTTTCCAAGTCTCCTTTTGTATCGATTTGATGAGTCCAACACCATAAAATTTATCTTTATAGAATGTAACGTGGACAGCCAGAGGTTGACCACCAACGTAAGAATCTCCAAGATAGTATCGAAGAATTTAAAAAAACATACACTAATGATTCCTAGAATATATTTTTTTCCCATTTTGGTTTTCCTTCTTTTAATCATGACACTTTAATTTTTAAAATTTTCAATTTAACTTCAAATGATTCAGTAAAAAAAATTGATAGTTTTAAATTAATACGAGTACGAATATGTATACATGGTGATTGGATATGTGCCCACTTTTGCAAGAGAGATTTTAAACTTTTGTTTTCAACTTAATCATTTAGAGTCAAATTTAAATTTTTACGAATTAAAATGGTTGATTTAAATTCAAATGATCGAGTAAAAAATGTTAATTCTAAATTACTAACTGAAGTAAGAATATGTATATTTGGTGATTGGACAGGTGGCCACTTTCATTAGGAATTTAAACCTTTGTTTTTAATCGAATTATTTGGAGTCAAATTAAAAATTCTAGGGATTAAAATAATATAACTAATAGATCAAAACAGTTCGAAATGTGGAAGATAAATGGCAGGATATGCGAAAAATAATATATGTGAAAAATAATATATCAATATCTATGTTACTTATAAATATCAACATATGTCAAAAAAAATTTATTTCTTAATTCCTTCCTATTTATTAATGTTATGCCAATCGTACCCTACACATATATCCTTAATAATGTCATAATTTTTTCCTTTCATGTTCTATCAAAACTCTTCTTATCATATAGTATTAGGTCTCTAGCCATTCGCTTTACTTATTCTTGTAGCTTTAGATCATTAATGAAAAAGTAACTCTACTAACTCAAACTGCTCTATAATACAATAACTAGGTTCAGTAAACATTGAAATAAGAATTAATTCTTCGATACATAATTTATTTATTTAATTCAATAACACATATAATATATATTTTTTTATATAATTTGACTGTCAAATTCTTTTGAACTTTTTTATAAAGAATATTTGATTTCTAAATTCTTTTGAGGCTTTTTATAAGTAGTACACTTATATAAAATTTTTCATATATACGCCTACGTATATATGAAGAAACAAAGACGAATTTATGTTATATTTAGGGGTGTCCATGGGCCGAGTTTCTCCCCCGGGTCCTGTTATCCGACTCGAAAAAATATGTCTGAAACTCGATAGGGCCGATAATTAGTCCGTTTGACCCCGAATCTAATATCCTTAAAAAGTGGGCTTGGATTTTCCTCCAAATCCATTACCCAACCCAATAGCCCACTCGAAAAAATATGTTAAAACCCGACACAGGAGTCCGCCCACCAAGCCCAACTCGCTCACCCTTCATTTGAAAAAAAGTTATATTTTTAGACCATTAAATTTAAATTTTAAAAAATAGATATTATAAATAATGTAGTATTTTCTTTTCCATATATTAAGCATACAAGTTTTAAAGGGTAGAGTAATGTAAATGATAGATAAGTGAGTAGGTGTTAACCTAGTTGAGATGTATTCATTCTATTGAATGTAGTTCATCTCCTAGTCAAAAATAAAATTATTTATTATTTTATTTTTATTCATTTTGACTCCACTTTTGATTCAAAAATATAATTTACAAAAATATTAAGTTACAAAAATATTTGTTATTTTTAAGTGATGTTGTATAAAATAAAACTCGCTAGCTGGCTGGCCCGGCAAGCCAGCCCAGAAGGCCCTCTCAATAGGCTTGTGGGTTGGGTTGCAGGTAGTCTACCTCTACTTGAAGTTTGGTTCGGCCCATCTGATAATTTACTTGGGTAAGAGCTTGGGCCTAAGCTATACAAGTCTGACTTGAAAAAAAATTTGTGGGCCTAGTCCATTTCTTCCCATGGACACTCCTAATTATATTATTACATAGATATAGTTATCAAATTAAATTCTAAGATCACATATATGTTATATTTAATTTTTTTTTCAATAATTAGGTCTAAAAAAAAATAAAATATAGATTAATTTTTGACACCAAATTTATCAAATAATTTAATTACACATAAAATTTATATTTTTATAAATTCAATAAAAAAAATTATTATTTAAATTATTCATGTGTAATACATGTCGTGCAGTTGTTCTTCCTCTTTTTCCATTATTTTTTGCTTCAAAGGAGGAAAATAGATGGAGAAGCAAGAAAAGGGGGGGAGATGAAATGTGAGGGTGGCTTGGCTTCTAGGAGAATTATAGGGGCTGGGTACTTGGGTTGTACTGTTTTCTATGATATTGCCCTTAATTTTTAATTCAACCACTACCTCTCGTGCTTTAATTATCGAATCATAATTATCATCTCAACTACTTTTTCGTTGAAATTTAATGTTTAAATCTGATGAGACTCTTATGAGAAAAACTTATATTATGCGACACGTGTCCTCAGCATCGAGCACACCTCTTGCCCCTGTCGAGATATCGTGCCCTCGACACCAAATACTCCCTTCCTCCGGAGGGTGTGTCCCTTGACACCAAGGGGTGTTGATGCTTCTTAGCAAACACGTCCCTCGGCCTCAATGGTATCTCCACCCCGAGGCAGGCATGTGCCCTCAGTCTCAGAAATGCCTGCTGGAGCTTTTGATCTGTCACGTGTCTCTTACTCCTGGAGGGCCTATTGAATTTACAACTGGCTAGTCTTAACTAGACTAGGGATGATGATGACACTCTGCACAGAAAGACCAGGATGGCAGAACTAACAAGACATTCCCATCTATGGGAGATTGACGCGTGGCATAGAAGTACAGGATCAGAGAAGGAAAGACGGGATTACCCCTACTGGTATGCGACTAATAGAGACAGACATTTAATGGATCCTCAATTGATGGGACGTCAACCATGGCTTGAGAAGCTGAGAAGCAAAAGCATTAAATGCTCAGGGATCCAAGCATTTAATGCTTCTGCATTAGAGAAAGAGCATTAAGTGCTCGGCCAATTAATACTGGGAGATTCTCCATGCAAAATAGGGGGCACACTGCCCCATTTCTAGATATTTCCTATTATCTACACCACCAGCAATGATGAGTCTTTGAAGGTATTAATAGTCCTCAAAAACACATTGCAAAGGTACGCCAATCACCTCTTCAGAACACAAAAATAGTGTTTTTTTCTTCTCCTTTTTCAAAGAACTGACTTAATCGTCGAAGGAGATACGCCAAAAAACACTTTGACGCCCTTATAACCTGTTTTCTATGTATCAGAAACGATTTTCTAAACCCAAGATCGATTGAACACCCCCAAGGACAATTCATCACCACTCCTTAAGCCCCCTTTGGCAATCTCAACCTGTTTTTTGTCGTCCGATCCACCGTCTCAACAGGTCTGAATTCGCTGTGGAAAAGATCTGTTTTTATTTCAACTATTGTGCGAAAATTTTTCTGCACAAAATCTTATTCGATTCATTTATGATATTACCCTTAATTTTTAATTTGACTATGAATCAACACGCCTCGAACATGTTTGGATGATTTTAAAATGGATCCATGCTGCTTACACGCGACAGCCAAGTTTTTTAAGAAAGTAGCCAGCCAAAATGTCAATTTCCAAGTCTCCATCCATAGAAAGTCATTTTCCAAGTCTCCATTAGTATGGATTTGATGAATCCAACACCCCAAAATTTATCTTTTAGGATGTGGATATTCAGAGGGTCGAAAAAAAAAAATGTAATGCTATTTACATTTAAAAATTTGATTTCATTTGTTAATCTGATTTACTATGACTTTTCAATTGAAAGTATGTCCTATCAAACAATGGAACTTGCTTTTCATCTCATGCCCAGCTTTGTTTTGAACTGAATCATTGAAGAAATTTAGGGATTAAAATTTTATAATTCTGAAAATGTTCAATTTAAGTTCAATTGATAAAGTAAAAAATGTTAATTTTAAATTACTAATTGAAGTAAGAATATGTATATCTGGTGATTGGATAGGTGGCCACTTTCGTTAGAGATTTTAAAAATTTTGTTTTTTTAGAGTCAAATTAAAAATTTTAGGGATTAAAATGACAACTAAAAAATTGAAATAGTTCAACGTGAGGAGGACATCGTGGTTAGGGACTCTTACTATATTTTACCTTTATTTTGAATAAACCTTCATGTTTCCATGTTTTTGGATAATACTTTCTTTAAGTTGTTTTTATGCCTTGTTCAAATAAATATAAAAGTAGCATTTGATTTGTGAAAAAAATGGCTTTTAAAAAGAAAAACATTTCTATTTGATAATTATAATCATACTAAGTAGTTGTAAGATGTCACCGACTGATTTTTCGAATGCATTCATTTGATCTCCTACAATTATGGCAGGTTTGGACTTCACATGTATGAGGGTCCTCTATTA